CAGTGAGAGCTGTAAAGTAGCTACAAAGTAGCACAAAGTATGCCTAAGGATTTTTAAAGACTAAACACAAATATACACTTATGCAATCTAACAAATTAGTGTTCCCCAAGAAATATTAAGGAATGCAAACAACTCACTGAATACTGAATTAAGTGTTTGCATAGTCTGTACAAATACACACGCGCGCAAACACACACATCCATTCAAACTATTCCACATTCCTCTGCAGTCTTGGGTACGGTGCAGTACTGAAGTTTAGGATGGTGGGCCAGCAAAATGAATATTTACAGTGCATTACTGATCAGTAATTTACTCAAAGTGATGTATAGCACAGCTATTATTGTAATAATCCCTCTTGGAATAACAGAACATTGGCTGTCTCTTGAACACAATGAATGATAAGAGCTAGCTTTGTGCTGTTTGAACCTTTAATCTCCACGTTACCAGTTCATATCTACACCACATACCCATTCCAGCCAATCATATCTGCCCATCAACCATTTCCACAGGTCTGCTGGTCTTCAAAAAGATTTTTCCCCCTCAGGAAAGACATGACTGTGAGTCTCCTAAAGAGCTCTCGGTGGTTTTCTCCTTTAAATAGAGCATGACATCAGCGTTGGGCAGGTCAGCTGTCTGCCTGAGCAAAACAAATGTGTCTAAACAATGCCACATCTGGAGATGGAGAAGGGTGATTGAGAGAGAGAGAGAGAGAGAGAGAGAAGAAAGTATGGAAAAGAAAAACGGGGGAGGGAGAGAAAGTAGAGGAGGAATGTGGCGGAAGAGAGTGGAAATGAATAAAGGGGAAGCAGCCAGCTGTTCTGGACAAGTGCCAGAGTGTCTGGGGATGTGCGACGCTCTAATTTACGGGAGATTCCCTCAAACAGGCCTTTTTGAACGTTTAAATCCCTAGCCATGTGCCTGAGGAAGACAAACTGCATCTTTTTCAATCTCCTTCTTTAGGTCTTCTTTAACAAACAGCAAACAATATTACTAGTGACCTAAACTCCTGCTAACTACAATGGCCGCACTTAATTCATCATCCTGGTCAAAAGAGTCCATCTTCAAATGTAAATATGGGTTCTTTTATCTTTCATTGTTCAAAGATCATCATATTTTGGCATCAGATTACATTTGAAAATGTGATTTATGCATGGAAAGTTTGGAAATAACTATTAATAAACAAAATGTCACAATATTGGAGAAATTCTCACTGAATGTAATGTGTAAAGCGGAATATACTTCTAATTTAAGCCTGTACTTTAAAAACATGTAAACAAATACCTAACCATACTCAATTGTTATATTTTAGATATTAAAAAAGTCAAAGTGACTTTAAAGTATAAAGATACGAGAAGTTTATATGTTTGGCTTCTTATTTTTCATGTGTCATCATAAATATACCTGGTAAGACTATTTTGGACACTTAAAGCGCTTTACACATTAAGGGGAAACTCCTCATTCACTACAAGTGCGCAGCATCCACCTGGATGCCATTTTGCACCAGACCACACACCAGCTGATTGGTGGAGAGGAGACAGACTGATGATTTCACTCAGTTATGATATGAGGATGGTTAGGGGGCCTTAATGGACAAATTTTATCCAGGATGCCAGGGTTAAACACCTACTCTTTTCCAAAGGACAACCTGGGCAGTATAGAGTCCCCATCAATATTCTTTATACAATATACTTATAGTAAAGTGTCCCCTTCACCATATTGGGGCATTAGAACCCACATAGACCACAGGCTAAGCATCATTAACACCACTTCCAGCAGCAACCTAGCTTTCCCATGTGGTCTCATATCCAGGTACTGACCAGGCACAGCCCTTTTTAGCCTCAGTGGGTGACCATCTGAGTGTTGCAGAGTGCTAGCTTCTGGCTATAATAGTAGTAATAGTAATAATAGGAATAGTCATTACTTTTCTCAGGAAGAAAACAAATAAAAACAACAACAGTATGCTAATGAATGGAAAACTTTTGTTTACATGCTTGAAAACCCCTTTTTTGACTCATGTCTGTACCTCAATGGCTGTAAAAATGCCTTAGCAAACACTACTAATTTGTTATTAATTAGTCATTAAGCTGACATTCTTCAAGCCGGCTCTTTCTGAAGTTCAGTTCTGTGTTTATATTTCTGCTCAAGTTTAAATGTACCGACATATGGAAAAGAGAATTCAGGCAAATTTCTGTTTGTGTGTGTGGGAGAAAGACACAGATTTGTGCTTTTACGTGTGCGTATAAGTGCTTGTAAGTGTTGTACTAAATATAAATGATCTGCAAATGTACCTGGAATCTTTGGCATAATTGAGCGAAACTAAGTAGTACCTCACACTTCCACACACATGCACACTCGATCAAATCCCTAAACTCTCATTTCATCAAGTGAACGCTAATCTAGAGCCACATTTGGAAAGCAGATTTCACACAATTCTTTTCTAAAATGTAGACAAATAAACGCTGTCACTACAACTACCTTGGGCAAACCCCCCTCATTCAGGCAAGTATTAGGAATCAATCAACTCGAGACACGTATCAAAGTAATACCGTTTCCACTTCATGAGCTTAATCAGACAATACTTCTGAAGTAAGTCTTACTCTGCGTGTTACTTCAGTGAATTTGAACCAAGAAACAGCCCAACACTCATCAACAAGCCAAGTTCAGGTACCACACAGATCTGCAGAAAAAAAGTTGCAGGATGAGAGCTGCTGCAAATAGTAAGGAGTTGTTCAAATCGCTAACTGTACATAAGCACCATTGGATTGATAATAATGCTTGCCTTCACAACACAACAAATTAGCAAATTGTTTCTTTGGAAGGTTTGCTAATCACATCGAATCAAGACTGGTTTTACAAGCCTCACCACTTGAGTTAATAGATGATAAAATACTATTAGAACCTAATGTTTTCCAAATTCTAATAGGGAGCTTGCTATTTTTATTTGTTTTAGGGGAATGATGCTTTGGTAACTGCTGATCTCCTGAGCAGTTAAAGTTAAGAGCCCTGCTGCTGATTCCATTATGGCTGGGAGTCTGTACGTGCGCGAGTGTGTTTGTATGTGTTTGCACGTGCGCACATGTGATGGCTTCAGGAATCCCCATTGGAGAGGGTTAGAGTTACACACCGTCAGGCAGTGGTCAAAAGGTCACACTGGATTGTTACGCCCCCCCAACCGTAGACCCCCGGTAACTGTGTTAACAAGGAATGTGTGAAACAAACAATCATATGGAGCACGATTACAGGCAGAGAACAGTACACACTGTTGGACACAGTTCCTCATGACCCCCCTGTTGTTTTGTTTGGGACGGTACTCTATATAGATTTTAACAAAACAGAGCTCGAGGTGGTAAAACTGGAACGGGAGACAAAGAACCTCTGTTGGATGTAGCCCAAGAGACTGCTTGGCATTTTGCAGTTAAGATACCACAAATCCTATATAAGCCTATGCAAGACAGTGGACCGTGTCTGGACAGGCTGGACTGGCTGTGGGATATTCTGCATTACAGTGGCCTGACCTTTGGGGGCGATGGGAAGTGCTTGATGGTGTGGATGGGTGGATTGACTCCAGATTTTACTACAGTTTTTACTAGTATCTAGTGGGACTTAGTAACCAAATACCACTTCCTCTGCTGAAAAGTCCAGGATCTTTAGGTGCTTTCAGCCACTGTCAGTAAGACAGGAGACAGGAAGAAGAACCAGCCATGGTTAATAGGTTCATGCTGGTCCTTATGTCCCTTTGTGTCACTTTGTGCTGGAGTCTGTCTGTCATGTGTCCCTCAATTCAAACGACCAAAACCCGAACATAACCATGAACCTCTCCCCCTCGGTCTCTCTCTCTCCACCTCCACTGCCAGCTCTGGAAAGTTCATTTGTGACAGTAGGTCCGTCTCCTTCACTCCCCACGTGTTTTTTCAATTAACCGAGGCTCCCGTACACTATTCAGAAGAACATTTGGGAAACCATAATTCTCATGGCCCTGCACAAAAAAAAAAAAACTAATGGAAACTCACTTAAGATTTTTTCCGGGGGAGGTTTCAAAAGAAGCCATTACCCCAAGAGGGGAGCGGGGGGTTTAAAAGGATGATTTGGCTAGAAGATTAGACAGAAAGAGTGAAGCGATGGACGGGTGGGTGATGAGAGAGAGAGGTCAAACCGGCCTTTCTGAGGTAAAAAGAAAAAGGATGGACAAAAAGAAACAGAGGTGAGTTGAGGGGGTGAACGAGTGCACGGATGGAGATTTTCCTCAGAATGCGGATGAAAGTGGTCCGGATCTGGAGCGGGCCGCAGGGAGAGGGGACACATCCAGAGGACTCAGATCAAAGGAGAGAGGCGGCCGAGAGACAGATGACGGACCGTCCCCTCCCTTCCATCCCCGAGTCTCTATTTACACAGATGAGTTTGAAAAGCCTTCAGCAAGATTCTGGCCATCGGCACAGCAAATAAACACACTCATATAAACACGCTAATGCAAATTCATTCACACACACCTGACAGCGCATCGGTGCTCACAAGTGTTTACATGTGCACACGTGTGTGTACACACAGACAGTCACTATGATATATGTGTACTCCACATAACACACCCTATATAGCAAAAGTGCCTGCGGTTTTACAACATCCTCATCACATATACATCAGGAAAATGAACACTGCGAGTTAGCTAAACTTCTATTTATATAAAAAGTCATACCTCTTTCTGCTAGACTGGATTATACACAGTAAACCTCACCACTGACCTGCAAGCTTCTCATCTAAGCTGTCAAGCTTATGATCATGAAGTCAAAAAGCACTGCTTCAGTTTTTATAGGCGTTGACATAAACAAAACAAACTAACAGTCCCGTCAGGAAAACAATAGTTTAAGAAGCTGTCTAAAAGTGCATATGTTGAGTCGATAAGTGTATTGTGTGTGACACAGACCCCCCCATGCTGACAGACATCCAGACAGACAGCCAGACAACAGCATTCACATTGACATTACAATGACAGCAGTGGTTCTTACCTACATGCTTGTGAAGTCTGGGCCAGTGAGAGGTTCATATCTGCCGCTGCAGTTCCTGTGCTGCACGTTTAGACCCGGAGGAGAGAGAGAGAGAGATAGAGAGAGGCAGAAAGAGAGAGAGAAAGTGCAATGGAGCAGCGCAGCCCCCAGTCCCGGCACTCCAATTCTACGTTCTGAGGATGAAAAGAGAAGTCTTCATTACCAGCTGGAGACCACGCCTCCACCTCTCCTCTCGTCCCTCCCCGCCGCTTCCCTCTCCCTCCCAGCCAGTAGCAGGATGCAAAAGTTTGTCCCGGCCAAGAGAAGGCCAGCGATCTGCCAAAGCAAACCTTCAACCACAACCGACTGCCAGTACAGTGAGAGAGAGAGAGAGAGAGCGAGAGGAGTCCGTGACAGATCTAGTCGAAAGGAGCACAGTGAAGGGACTAGACGCACTTTTTGATCAGTGTTGTTGAACTCGTTTTAATTAAGGCTTGCTGTAGGAAACGGCACATCAAACGGACTGTCGGTTTATGGGAAGGCACGGCTAGCAGCGCATACACATTTGTGCACGTGCCAAAGTCCCGGCACAGGAGAAAAAAAAAAAAAAAGAGAGGATATTTTGCATTACTTATGAGTCAACTTTGAGTTTCCCCTCTCCCTCTTGTCATCTGTCTCTCGCTTTCCGTCCCTGCCAAAGTGAATGTTATCCATGGCAGTCAAGAAAATCACTCTTTTTAGGAGAGCTGCATGCCGTCTGTAATTATAAGTGGGGTTGGGCATGAAGTCTGCCTACAATCCCGGCTCCAATGCCACAACACACACACACACACACACACATACATATACACGCCCTAATGGTAGAGCGAGCCAAAGCAGGCCAGTGTGCTCACACTCCTCCACTCGGAGGCACAGCATGACAGTTCAGACTTTATTTTTAGCAAACCGTATTTATTCCTATTGGATGTTTTGTGGGAGAAATGATATTTGCTTTTGAGAAGACACAATGACTGCATTCATGGCGAACTCAATAGTGTTTTCTAAAAAACTCCAGACGCTCCTTTTCCACTTATTTCTGTTTTCATATATTGCATGGTTATTTTTAAGTAAACACTAAATCACTGGGATTATCCTAATTAAGTTACCGGTATGTAAATGAAGCCGGGGTTCAAACGAAAGCAAATGTGCTGCGGCTGTGCCTGCAAAATGCTCCATTCATCCGAAAAGCAGCTGTTTGTTTGATTCGCTGCCCTGGAAACGTAAATGAAATCAAACCGTATAACTTTTACTAACAAAAGCGAGGCGTGAACGCACAGCCAATGTGAAGGCAAAGATATAATTATGATTTATGTTGCGTTTTATTATCTGAAAGATTTATCAGTGTTCTGTTTATAGTTGTGGCGGTGAAACATGCACTGTGAAAGTTTAACGAGAAGAACATGAACCAGAGAATGTCAGTCGACAATTGTCAAGATAATGCATTAATTGTTTATTCCAAGATTTAAGTTTAGTTCAAGGGTAACACTTTATTTTGATGGTCCGTTTGAGTATTAGTAGGCTGTCTGCTTAATATCTATTGATACTGCTCCTTCAACAGACATTTAACACTGTAGGAATCTTAGAAAGTACATGTCAACTATCATGCCACTAACCCTAACCAGTCTACTTATTATCTAATGAGAATTAATAGGCATGTAGATGCAATGTAACTTAATTCAACACACAGACCATCAAAATAAAGTGTGACCATTTCAACTTATTTGATTTAATGAACAATAACCACAGATAGAATGTAAGGAATTCAGCTGATGTTTATAATATACAAGTGAGGCTTGAAGTAGAAACACATCTAATGACTGTACTTCCATTAGCACTGTAAGGATATTGTGTGTAAAGCCTTTCTTTACCACAAGAGGACAGCTTGAGCAGCTTATGCATTTATAATAGGAAAGCCTTGCAGTCAGATTTCACCTCAAGTTACAAAGTGGCACTGAAATACAAAATAAATGAAAACAAAAGGTTTAAAAGACTACAAAACTGCACCTGCATCCTTTGTCTTGACCAACAGAATGTTTTAAAATGACTTATTAACATAAATGAATTGAAAAGGCTTCACTGAAAAACATTTGTATAGCAAAATAGCTTAACAGTCAGTGTATACCTGACTATCTGATTTTGGCTGGGCTTTCAATGTAATATCTGGTCCTCAGATTAGTCTTGAATCTACATTTTATACTTAATAATATGCTAACTAATATGAGAATGCAAGTTTACTGAGACAAATAATGCAGATGGTAACACTAGAGGTTGATTTATGCTGTTATAAACTGTGATCGAAGGGAATTGTCACAATTTTCCCTCTAACGCCATTGACTTTTAAGAGAATGATGATTTGACCATGTGTGTTGTGCAGTCGATGCCAGATCACTAGCAGTGTACACGTGAGCAAGTGTGTAAAAGATGAAAACAAAGTCCAGCAAGGCTCTCATGTCACAAAAATCTAAACCATCGATACATTTGAAGTCCAGCATTATCATCGACATCTGGGCAAGCTTTTCAAAGGAGGGTAAGTGTGTGGATCATGTGACTGATATCCTGTGCGTTATTCTGGAAGGTGTGTCTGTTATAGTGTATATAAACAGATGAAACCGATTTATGGATGGTGCTGGAGGTATTTAGAGGTTAGACTACAGCGTTACGATAGTCTGTTTGGATGAGCTATGCCCTGAGGAAAGTCATAACTAAGCTGTCATTTTTAACGGGTTTCACAGTCAGGAAGGCCACTAGCCAAGTAAGCAAATCATGGCCTATTTTATCCTGTAGTTCCATTACTGAACCCTCAGGGGGTGTGAACTCCCAAAAAGGTGCTTAGAGAGTGGGATTAGACATGCTAAATGTAAAAAAAAAGAATTTGTGGAGATGAACAGGTTTTAGTTTGTTTACTCTTAAAGGGCCCCTATTTTATCTCTTATTCAAGATTTAAGATGAGTCTTTTGTGTCTCCAGAATGTGTCTGTAAAGATTTAGCTCAAAACACCCATCAGATTATTTATTATACTTTTCAGAAGTTTATACTTTTCTGAGCATCTTGTAGCTGTTTTTGCAGCCTGTGCCTTTAATGCTGGTTTTCCCCGCCCACTGTTCCTATGTGCCTCTCAGAGAGAGTGCCTCAATCTCCGCCTTGGCTGCGTCAGATAAACAGCACAGTGACAGACATGAAGGAAGCACATAGTCTCATATAATGTTTGTGTGAAATACTACAGTAAGAACTTTCCCAATGATTATTTGATGTATTTGTTGTGGAGTTAATTCAAGCCTTTCTGCAACGATGAGTCTCACACACAATGTCATTAAACTTTGCAGTGTTTTTGCATGCAAATGTGACAGGATACACATCAATATCCACTGCTGTATGGACATCAGTTATGTTAATGTACAAAATAAACCTGATTTAACGTCCACAAACCGGGATTGAAGCGTCTTCTTTTATAATTGTATTGACATGCAGCTGTGGTGATAAAGACGGTAAAATCGATGTAATTCATTACATGCACTGATTTAAAAATGTTTTAAACTTGTAAAACCTATTCTTGATCACTTTTGATGAAGATTGATAATCACAGCGAGCTGAACAGATCTTTTAATTCCAGTTGCTTTGCGCACACCCTGTCTTGTGGATATGATTATATGCGTTACAGGGCTCGAAACTGCGACCATTTTGGTCGCATATGCACCTAAAATTAATCTATGCGACCTCATAGTATATTTGGGAGCATTTGTGCGACTGCATATAATGAGTGTAGTGCGACCATTTTTGATTTTTTTCTAAAAACGTGCTGAATCATCTTCCCTGCCGCTTTATTGGTTAATATTAGCTGTCAATCACTCAAGATATTCCGCTGTTAGATGACAGGGAGGGAGCTTTTATGACCGTGGGAAATGCAAACAGCTGAAGAGTGAAAAGCACACAGGTTTGCAATCCCCACCTAAAATTGAGTTGCAGATGACAGCGATCATGATATGCGATGAATGTTGATTTGTCTGTCGAGATCGAGTGTTTTCAGAGAAGGTGCCCGAATCTCGATGCGTTGCATTCACTGCGTGTTCAGTGTCTTTACTATGTTTAAATTGCGCTTATAACAAGGAGCAGTATTTCGCCGGTGGTCATCGCGAGAGTCTTGCTCTGCCTGCTCATATATTGGGTCGGCTGACTTACCAGCTTTTCCACTAACACAGAAATATGAAAATCTGCTCAGACTGAACATTTAAATTGACACAAACTGAAACCAAAACTTTTAAAGAGTGATAGAAGTGAGACTTTTCTTACTTTCTTTTGTCCGTTCTTTCTTGAGATGTATATTATTTAGCTATTTAGTTACTCTTGACTGTTTTGCAGCTTTTAGCCTTGACTTGAATGATTTATTATAGTCTTTAGTTTGTTTTGTAGACGAAATATTATTTATTTAATTGACACTCATATAAAAACAATAGCACAAAATAAACATTTCTTACTGCAATGCTTCATTTCTGTTTGATGTAAACCATAATTTTATTTTTCATAAAGTAACAGACTTTTTAGCAGATAACTTGCAATCAAGCACACTCAAGGCAGCATGATAATGAGAAATGTAATTCCTTGTTAGAATTAATGTCATTTTCATCATTAATATTCTATAATTAATAGACATACATTTTGGAATTATTGCACACAAATATCAATGTCATCTCAGAATCAGTTAGTTAGTTATTTTGGGTTTTTGTTAGTCCTAATTGACGATGTTTTAAAATACAATACATCCCTTAAAAAACAATTTGCAATGGTGCTCATTCATTTTTGGTGGGTGCTCCTACATTTTTTCTGGTGCTCCTAAATATTTGTAGTTGGGAGCACTGGTGCTACCAAGTCAAAAAATTAATTTCGAGCCCTGCGTTACTACAGAGACATGTTAATATGTGGCTGTCAATCAATTTGTTCGGCGGGAAACCGCACTCCATCACGAGAGACTTGGATCCTATTTTAACGTCAGGAAATTTACAAAGATAGACTTATTGTGTTTATATCACCCTAATATGACTGTGGACACACTATACCTGCACACAGTTCAAAAGGCATTCAAAGGCATTCAAAAAAGAACCATTTTCCCACTTTTATTTAATGGAAAACTTACATGGATGTTAAACGTTCTACGTGGAAT